AAGGTAAAGTGGGGACCTCTCGATAATCAGTTGTTGGGTGCTAATTCGCAAAACAAAGTGATTTTAAACTACTTGACCGTTATTTTTTTATTTATTTTTTTTTTTTTGGATGGGGGAGGGGCGTGAGTAATTTTTGGAGGGGCATGCTTGCGCCCCCGCCCTAGATACGCCACTGTTTACATTTTGCTCTCAATTACTACTGTACATATATGTTTTGCTCTCAATTACTACATATAAAAATGTATAGTAACTACAGTATCAATACTCCCGTATTAATACTCCCTACTAAAACCCAGTGCTCTATTTGTGGCCTTGTAATAACAAGAAGGTATAATTATGTTTTATCTCCTCTATGGTAATCGTAACTACAAACCTTAGAAGTTAACAGTGTATGCAATTAGCTCTAATTAGCGGATTGTTTGGCGAATAAGAATTAATGTTCATTCATTCAAGATGATCATCAAAACCTCAACGATTTCTATAAAGATGGCATTTACTATAAGTCATTGCAAATAGCAGAGAATTCCGATCATAACGTATTTTTTTAGGCAAAGAAAAAAAAATCTTGACCAACCTTTTCAGGACCCGTGAGCTAAATTTTTTGTTACAATGATTCATTATATCGTTTTTAAGAGAGGGAAAACCTAAACTTTTAATAACTTAAGTCATTAAGACAACTCAGAAATCGGGAAAGCTCATTTCCCACCATCATGGAATCAAAATTTTCCCGACCCCCGTACTCTTTGAGGTTCATCCATTCACGGAAAAAAGAATCCTACCGTATGCAACTACTCAATTTTTTTTAATTTTATACACACGTAGTCCTACTTACTGTAATAAAAATGAGAAAGTTTTCTGACCGTTTTCAAGAGGGGAAAACCGTTAATTTTGAAGCACAGTACAGTACTTGAAAGTCATTAAAAGACACCTCAGAACGCCGTCGTTTAGGAATCCAAATTTTCCTTGGGGGAAAAGACCTCGACCCCGACCCCGACCCCTGATGCCCTTCTTTTTGGGGTTCATCGATTCATGAAAAAAGAAATACGTATGCAACTACTGTACTGTACTATTTTTTTCAAGTATATACACACATATAATAGGCCTATTTACTGTAATAAGAATAAGAATGAGAAAAATTTACCTGACCGTTTTCAAGAGGGAAGATAAAAACCCTGTCATTAGACACTTCAGAAGTTAAGAATCAAAATTTTACCGGGTACGACCCCCGACTCTCCTTTCTTTTTGGGTTTTTTGGAAGCATTCTGACCCCTCCTAAATTTAAAGGCAGACCCGCCCCTGCAAAAAGCATACTTGACAAAACTTAGGAGTGGTTTTTGAGATACAGTACAGATCTATTTTTAATATTTAAAAACTTTAGGATAAAGGGGCGTGACCACCCTTTTTTCAAACTCTTTAAATATTCGAAAATCTGTATCTCATTCATCAAGTTTTTCATCAAATTTGCTTAAGCTCCCGAATAGCGTTTTTGTTTTGGGATAGAAGCATGACGATGTTAACAGTAAGTTCCGTCCATCTTTTTCTTTCAGATGTTCCTGCGTCGAACACATTATTTCCAACGCTATTGCATTTTGCAGCATTTCATGGTCTTCCTAAGCTGTGTGCATGCCTCATAGATACACCAGGGTACAGCGAGGCAGTCTCCATGACCAATAAGGACGGACTTACTCCAGTTGAAATGGTCCCTGTTGATAAACCAAACATTAAAAACGTATTCGGTTTTAAGTAACCTTACTGCAGTTAGTCCAATGGTGGCGCCAGGATTTGGTAGGGGATGTCCCCGTCGAGAGCAAAGTAGGCGTGGTCGGACGTCACTCGAAATCTTTCGGAAGTGGCCCCGAAATATGACAATTTATATTATTAGGGGTTTCAAGGGATTATTTGATGAGTTTATAATCTGCCAATACTGTATGTGGAAAGTAACTAAAAAATAATTTAGTCTCCCCAAACAATTGTGGTTTTTCAACCTAACAACGGGGGGCGAGGGGCACGGACACCTCTGCTGAAGTGTTTTACCCTCTGGGTTTGAGTAATCAGCGGCGACATAATTCTTCCGAAAATTTTCGGTGGATTACTAAGCGAAGCACCGCAGAGGCGCATGTTGCTGACGTGTAGAGTATCTACAGTACGAGCGAACTTAGTTTCCCAAAATACTGTATAGGCATACTGTAATTATATTCTGTTGCACATTTTTAAAGAAAAATACAGCAATTCCCTTTTAGGAAAGTTGTGGCTGATAGGGACCTGTCTCTCGCATTGGGATTAAGCCCCACCACTATGTAATCAACCTATACAATAAATCATTATACATGATCATTTACAAAATGTGTTAAGTTGTCCATATATTATTGTTGCCTTGTTATTGTTCATTATCATGACATTGGTATCCAAAATAGGAGCTAATATTTTTGTTTTTACAGTACAGGTGCAGTACAATACTTCTGTTTTGTTTATGTGCAGGTAGTTTATTATATTGTACTGCCACCAACGATTGGATCTGGGAAAGTTAGAGAAATGATAAAAGCACTGTAGCAACAATGGTTTTTTAAATGGACACTAGGCTTACTATTACTTTACTGAAATTAAGTTTGTATACAGTACTTCAAGCACTGCACAGTATAGAGTTTTCAGATTTATTACTATCTAAATGTAACAGACATTAAGACAACACCAAGCAAATTTCTTCTATAAAATGGTCAAATTTATTCTTGTACATGTATTCCACTTCAACGTCAAAACCAACAGACATTGAAAGTGGTGTCCAAATTAAATCAAAATTGTCTTTATAACTATCGTCAAGAAATTCTCAAATTACATACCCACAATCAATCTGAAATCATCAGCATTTTATAAAGAGACCAGGGACTAACTGAAACCCATGCCAAACATGAAATGCTATAATCACACACATAGACGTGGAATGATCACTTTGTAACAAGAAAATGGATGTTCCACGTAACGGTATGTAGTTTGGGGCCTAGTCGGGGGCCACCTTTAGACAGTGACTTTACATACCAATTAACTGTACTATTATTATTTACAAAAGTCGACTGTACAACTAATGGAATTAGCATTATAAAATGCCTATCTTCCAGCCCCTCAGCCTTTCTGCATGGAACATACAATGATTATCTATTATACCTACTAAATGAAAACAACAATGAACATCTCCGCACACTATATTAAATACATGACAAAAGTAAAAGCTAGCTACGCGGTATAGTAGTCGTTTGTACAAAAACCAATCAAGTCAACTTCCATGAAAAATAAGCCGAATTTGATTGGTCGCTGTCTAAGGTAGTACAGTTATGTTTCGTCGTCGTCAGCCAATTGCCAGTCTCACACCTATGATGCTTTTTGTGACCCCTTCTTTCCAATCAAAGATTTGTGAATATGTGGAATAACACCTGCAAAAGAAAAGAACATTTGAGAAAATGTAAGAAACTGCTTGTGCTACTGAAGAAAAGACTAATGGCAACTTAACCATTTCTTTTAGTTATACATTCAGAATATTTGATTTTGAGAGTTGACAATTATTAAATTAAAGTCAGCCTTTTTGTAATAATGCTTACAATACAGTTAAACTTGCCCAAGTCGACTTTGCCCAACTCAAATAATCTTAAGTCGATAATATTTTTAATGCCAAATTGTTTCCATTAATTAACGATCTGTAAGTTTAATTTTATCTTTAAGTGTAAATGAACAATTTTTCAATCCAATTTGACAAGTTTAACTGTATTGCAGTTTGGCACAAGTTTTTACTCAATACAGCACAGTTGACTATTAGTATTATTAAAAAATGCATACATCATTTTTCTGTGTTCTGTACAAAGTACAAGATCATTAGTGTTAACACGATTCAGTAAAGGATCTCATGTATATGGACATTTAAAGAATTTTCTGATTCCTTCTACAGCATATTTTAAAAAAGGTGCTTTTCCATTTTAATCCGAGCCAACTATTACTGTGCTTGGATGACATTCTCCCCCTATTAGATATAAATGCTTATACTTACCACCACCAGCAATTGTTGCTTTTATAAGCGAATCCAACTCTTCATCTCCCCTGATTGCAAGCTGCAAATGACGTGGCGTTATTCTCTTTACTTTCAAGTCTTTACTAGCATTACCTGCCAACTCCAAAACCTGGAAGAAGAATAACAAGTTGAGTACAGTAATTCTCTTATATTTATTGATCTAGATAAATCCCATGAATATACACTACACTAATAACTTCCTGATTTTTTTAAATACCAAATGAATACATGCTCCACAAGAACTCATAACCTGTACAGTACGACGTCCAATTTACGTACCCCTTGGAACGTAAATTGAAAAATTTGTATACTAGATCAGGTGTTGGTCTCCAATACCTAGGCTTAGCGGCGACAGGCTGACGGCGACCAGGCTTAGCACGAACCGACAGTGCAGTAGTGTGGTTTATCATGCTAGAGCCTAGCTGAATTTATTTTCGATAAAAACCAAATAATTTTAATCGCTGGCAATCTTCCACTTAAAATATTATTTTCGACTCTTATTCAAACATCTCTATGTGTTATGGACCTCTCTATCGTGTTCTTTCTAGCAGTTAGATTGCTGAATTGTGTTGTTTACATGCATTTCGTGATCATATCTAGCATTCACAATGTCATTAAGTTTTTGACCCCAACACTCTCGTTCATCATCGTAAACATGTGCGCTCAATTCGACAGTACTTGCATTAGTAATTCATTGTTTTGGTTAGGTTTATTACATTAATATAGTGATTATTATACCAGAAGTAAAGATCGATCATTAATAAATATACAACATACCTGAATATACATTATCACTAAATGTAAACATGCGCAATCTGACTTTTGCGGTAATAATTGGTCAATTATGACATCAGGGGAAAAGACTATTTGTAAAATCATATCTATATTAAAATCTTAATCATTAATCAAGGGCTTCATGGCCCTAGAAAATTTGAGGCTTTCCATCCTTTCTGTAGGCAAATGTTAATTCAAGTATTTACTATAAGAATGTGGCATAATACTTTTGCTTACAACTGTCAATTTTAGTAAATGGTAGCTTATAATGTGGTGGATAATATTTAAGTCAATTTTCCTAATGTTGGTCGCCGATGCTGATTTTGGCATAGCAAGCATCATTTAGTAAACTACTACAACTCAGTTGAAGGCGCTACAAAAAAATCAAGGAATTACTGTAATGGAACTTCTCTGTATATAAAATATAATTAGGAAAGTTCTCTAGCACAATATCTTGTGTGGGGTCAAGTGGGGCGAAAACTCTACTCGAGAAACTTTATTTCCGAAACAATACAACGCCGCGCGATTGGTTAACAGCGGCTTGACAACAAGACTCGCATAAATATTCACGCTTTGCACTCTCTGATAATCCCACACTCACTGCCTCAGAAACAATCTCTGCTGGTGATTTTTGATTAGATTCTGAGTTATATACTGTTGTAAAAAAAAACGAAGGATGCATAAAAATAGCAAAGGGGTTCGTTAATGGTAGGGTGGGGTTCGCTTTTCAAAAGGGGTAATTGCTGAAAAGGGGGGTTCAGACGAACCACAGGAACCCCCTGGCTACGGGCCTGGATTATATACAATTTAAGAATTACAGTATGCAGTGATAAATATTCTGGCCACAAATTCCCAATCACTGGTACTGTGTAATACATGGCGATACAATAATTCAAATTTTCTAAACAAATACTGGAAACCAACCATTATAGTTTTTTCAAAATGCATGGAAAAATTTCTAGGCCTAAATTAGTATGCCTACAAATTGCATTAAACTGCAAAAAAAAAGTTGATCTGTACAAACTGCTTGCTTACGTACAAATGTTTAACAACAGTGCAAGGTCACATTATATAACAATTTATGACATTCACAATATACTTATTTAAAATATCTCACATTACAAAATGTCATTCATAATTATATAAATACGACACAAACCTTAATGAAAGATAGAAGTTCTCTCTAAATGTAGGCAAATGCACAGTAAATAGTCTTTAGTTAAAAAGCTAATGATAAATTCGCGCCCGAATTATCTATTCGCTGAATGGTCGCTAGCCTCACAGCACTTCCGGTAGTAAACAAAACAGAAGAAAAACCGCGCCATAAAATAAATTGAATTTTAACTAAATCTATGACAAGCTTTATCCAGTAAAATCATAAAAAAATAACTAAAATAGCGAAAACTAAATTATATTCTTACCTCAGCTGTTAAATATTCAAGGATAGCAGCAGAGTAAACAGCTGCAGTTGCGCCGACTCGTCCATGGCTTGTCGTTCTGTTTTTCAGGTGACGATGAATACGACCAACAGGGAACTGAATAAAAAGTCAATTTTAAAAATTACTAAATACTATCGATAGGTGCAGCTCGTAATTCCAACAGTAATAACATGTCCAGCTACATAAAATAGAAAATTAGAGGCAAATAACAACAAATTTTACCTGTAGGCCTGCTCTTGCAGATCTTGATACGGCTTTAGCCTTAGCCTTTCCTGAGTCTTTACCAGCTTTACCTCCAGCCTAGACAAAAATAAGATTTTTTACATGAATCATTCAAATTATGAAAAAACTACATAGCACATGTAATTATATAATTATCATAGGAACCTTTAAACAGAAAATAAAATTTGGATGGCTACCATGCCCTTTGCAATAAATTGGATTGAAAATGACATACTAACCATTTTTTCTTTACGTTCTATCACTATGAGAGTATACCCGCCAACAGACAACGTACAAATGGACGCGCAAAATCCTTCAGATGCTATTCAATATGCTAGAATATAAGCCAATCGATGCATGGCGGGAATGTAAACTATCCAATCAGAGGAATGTATAATTAATAAATATTCATGACCTACTGAGTATTGAGATAACTGATGGCGCTATTTTTCTTTTGTTGCTTTGTCAATACAGTATAGAATTGCTAAACAATGCCTGACATCAGGTTAAAAACACTAATAAGTGAATTCTTGATCTACTTCAAATAGTAGTAATTAAAAATTACACCGTTAATTGCCACGCCTAAATCTTATTTTTCAAACGCTTAAATTTTTCGATGAAACGCGTTTTTAGGTATTTTTGTTGTCTAAAGCTCATACTGTGTGAACTCAACTATGTTTGATGTTGCTTAAATAGTTTGGTCATTATATAGTCTGATTAAATTTGTATATCATTAATTCGTTAAATTAAATCTCTAGGCTGACACGACCACCAGAATCATCCCCCATTTTAAGAAAAAAAAAACACACGGTGATAATCAATAAATGAAAAACTTTATTATACTAATGCACTTTTCATCAATTATTTAATATTTTGATGCATAATGTAATTATTTATTTATTTAGGCCTATTTGGATATACACCTTTAGAACGATGCATGATAATAAAAACAAATTATAACAAAAGAACAGAAAATATAAACCAATTAACATAATGCTCTGTAGTCTACCTACAGAGAAACTAAAATTAAAAGAGGCACATGCCACAATTAATACAATTACGGTACATCGAACTCCTAATCTATCAAAAAAAAAAGCGATGGGCTATTATTCGCTAAAAAAAAAGTGAAGGGCTATTATTCGCTAAAACAATATATAGCACTATGGTACTAGTACCCCACCGGGATAAAATGGACCATGACAAAATATTGTTGAGGTGTCGTTTTATATCACATCAGTGTGGATCTTTCCCGGTTTATATTATTGATAACATGTTAGTTATTATACACAACCTTCCAAGGACTTAAATTTTATTATATTTATGGACCAAAACGGTCGCCAATTATTTTATTTCAGTCATACAAGCTGGTTATCCATAATGGAGGTAAGGTGGAACTTAATCATTCAAATTGTTTTAACAAGCAGAATTGTAATATTTATAAAAGACTGTTCAAATTAACAACGAGTCTCCTTTATAATATTTCCTAAAGTAGCAGCTATACTATAATAGTTAGTTGGACCCTTGTGCATTTTATTACCCTAAAACGTGAAAAGTCTTTATGGCCTGCAATATGGATAGGCCCACCAGGTAGGTGGTGGAGCTGTTGGGAGAGCGATTCGGTCTCTCAACCTTGACGGGGTTCTCCACCCAGTAGGGGTACCTTGGTTGAAATTTACTGCTGGAGGTTTAAAAGGCGGCGTCCAACGGACTGGCCACCTTACCACGCCGAGGCTAAGCCCGGTGGCCAACAGCTCATTCCCCTTTTTCAAGTATTCCCCTTTAGGCCCGGGACCAGCATGTCCACCCAGAAGGATCAAAATGTCGTGTCCAGTCACAATTTGTTTGGACCAAAATGTTGTATCGAAGTGTCTGTTGTATTAAAGCAAATTTTAGACCAAATAAGTCAACAATGGTTACCAAGTAAAAATCTTTTTACTACAGAAACTTGACATACTTTTTGAATCTACACATTAAGTAATTTTGTTTCACGCTTTGATAATACAATGCAATTTTTTTCCAATATAAGGTCCTTAATAAATCAGCAGCTTTAGTTAGGCCTTGCTTAAAGCATTCCTGCTGCTTTGCATTGGTTTCTATAGATCTACAGTTTAACACACGGTTCCCCAAACAACATCAGGGTTACCAAATGATTCACTCATAAAGGTGCTTATAATTCTTTCCAATGTATCCAATTGTCCTTTATATTTTCTTTCTGATGGTCAACATTTTCATGATAGAGATGGATCTCGCCAAACTCAATGGTACTGTATTTAAAACTGTTAATTCTTTTGACGGAATTTCCTAAAGAAAACGGAAATCTTATAGACCTATCTATTTAGTATTTAGATTAACTGGCATTTGTTTAACCAAGGAGTTGTTATAGTGACGTTTCGATTTTATAAATCTTATAACATGTTATAAAAATCAGATTTTTAAAATTAAATTTTACTGGGAATGGGGCTTTAAATTATGTCCATTCGGCGACAGCAAGTATAGGCTACACTTATTATTTTTATTATTAAATATAGTGAATCCTCTCTCTACGTTTTTATTTAATGAGAGTTGGCGCCCTCGCACTAAAAGAACGCCCCAATGCAAACAAATTAATAAAACAGGTCGGCAGTCATCGTACAGTCCTATTCATTATTTTTTTTATTACAGCGCCCTCTTGTGATTCTCGCGTACTCTGGCGTGCAGCGTGACCACTGCTTGGGTATTTACCCAAGATCTTGGGTATTTTAACTTGGTCTTGGGTTCTTGGGTATTCTGTTCAAATCCTTGGGTATTTTATTTTTACTAAGAAAATTAAATATTTTTGTCATAGAGGAAAAATTAAGAAGTAACAAAGTATATTTCAGCCCATTCAAGTAAGCAAAACTCAACGAAGTGCACATAACATTGTTAATTGCTATAAACATGGGTTCGGAATTGTTTTTTGTGATTTGCGTTGCCATTGATCTAACCTAATTAATGCATTACATAATAAAACTTGATCACTGATCTACTGATAACACTGGCTGACTGAGGGCGTGTTTTTTTATCCGTATTATCACCTCATGAATATTAATTTTCATAATTAACACAAACAATTACAATAAAAAATGGTTTATAAATTGAACTAAAAGGGACAATACTTGCGAAAAAACACGTTTTTTTTTTTCAAATTTTAATGCATTTTCAGGAAGCTTGGGTAATTTGGGAAATTTTTGCTGAATCTTGGGTAATTTCGACCCAGTCATTGGGTATATCAAAAATTGTGAGTGGTCACGCTGGTGGCATGAAATAACAGATGATCATCGAGATTCAATATTCAACCTATTATCATTTACAAAAATAAACATGAAATTTTATTTTCATATATAATTAAATATACAAAATAAATATAATTATAAGTACAATAGCACCTTACTATGACCTTTTACAGTGAAATAACAATATGATACCTCAGTGTGCTTATAAAATGTGTTCTTATATTTAAAAAAAGTAGGCCTCTATAGGCCTAATTTTCTTAATTTGTTTACTATCTTTATTAGGCCTATCTTAGTTACAATTTTTATAGTTTTAAAAATAAAACTAAACTAATACATATTGTATGAGATTATCTTGATAAATATTTTAAAGTGGACAACATGCTTGTGGAAGAAAAGGATTTCACACCGACGATTTCATTTGGCATAGTTGCAGACTTTCTACCTGAAAAGAAAATTAAATGTATGTTGCTGTGACCATGCAGTATGGGTAATGTACTTCTGTTTTCGCGAAGGGGCGTCTTAATCACAAGAGTTAACAGAGTTTCTATACTAACTTATTTTCGTGCCGCTTTAAATGTATACATTTTTTTTATATAAGAACCAGTAAAATTTTGCCCAGGCTCAGTGTTCTTTATAATTGGCCGATTTCAGGCTCAAAAAGTATTTGTTCTTGTTTGACACATTTTTCAAAGATAGAAAATTAACATTGTTCAGCAGTACTGTATAATTACTGTACTGCGTTATTGAGGGTATTTCACACTCATAAGGTACAGATAAGATTTGTTGGGGGTTTTTTTTATTATTACTTTTATTATTAAATCATAAAACCATCATTTGACGTTTACCTCAGCCTCAATTTGTTTTTTATTTTGTTCTTATTTTTAACGTAATTTCAGCCTCAGTGTTCTTATAAAATGTGTTCTTATATAAAAGAAATCTATTTTCTTAACTTGCTGATTTTTTGTTAGTTTAGTTACAATATTTATTTTAAAATGAGGCCTTATTCTCTAGTAAATTTATATTGATCAGATAATATTAATAGGCCATACCTTCGTGTAGCTTATAAAGGTAACTTATTATGTAATGATACAAGATAAACTGAGTTGTAAACCCGTGACGAAGATTTGTTTAATCGTTCGATGTGTGGCGCGTGATTATTCTCGTGGATAAATTGCTGATCGGAACATGGATTGTTAGTAATGCATCACCACAGAATACTAGTCGACTAATCGTATATCATAATCCGTCCGTGAAGGTGAATCGATTCTTCTACCATGGAGTTCACTAATTCCTAAATGCTGCTAAAATGACACATGGCCATTATGGTGACTTTGACTTTGGTTAATTTTTGACTTTGAGAGAGTAGACCCTTGTACTTCCTGATGCGAGTGACCAGGAAAAGCAGCTGCTATTAAAATATTTAAAAACATTATACCGCCATGGATGGAGTGCAATATAAAAATACAAAAATAGTTGGCCTGTTGGGCAAATTTCATTATTCATTTTCATGTCCTTAGTGTGATATAGGGCCTATCAGATGTTAATTGAGATTGGGGAGGTTCTCCCCGGCGATCATTATCATTTTCAATATGATGATAATAATGATGGATAATAATTATGGATGGATAATAAACATGGAATAAAACCGGTAACTGTTTCGTGGACAAGGTTGTTCCTAATTATTTTATTATTCTCTCCAGGGGCTGATTTAGAGGAGAAAAATGTAATCAACACATGTATGTTTTTTATGACTGTGAAGGAATACTGTAAATGTAAATAGCCTATACATAAAGTTGGCCTATATAACAACTTTTTTAAAGACCTTCTAAAAATATTAGTTTACTACCCACCTCGTCAGACGATGATATTCCCATGGCAGGGCTGAGGTTGGTATTGATTGAAACCATCTGAAATTCATGGAGCCGCCCGACCTGCTCTTTGAACTATTTACAAATACTGCCGTAAATGCACGAATAAGGCTTTAGCGATAGCGCGCGCTTATTCGAGAGAGCAGCGGCGCTTATAAAAAAATATTGGAGTGGCGCTTTCCATGCCCGTTCCCATGTTACGCATTTCACGTAGTTTAACAGGCCTATCATAGGTTATATCGTAAATAAACGGCTGTCTTCATCGCGTTATTTATTCATTTTAACACTGTATACATTGTATTTTAAAACTCTGTTTCCCCAAGTGTTTTATCACACACAGCGTAATACTCTTGATTAAGCGCCGTGGCGCTTATCCGAGCGTCACGTTGCTTGGCGAAAAAATCGGGTTTGGTGCGGCACTTATTTCGAGCATTTACGATAAAGGCACTCGTGTCGGAAACACAGACGCAAATCAGAAAGCTGTCATAATTGTCAATCATATCCACAACGTATAACGGGCAATCATGGCACATTGAATTGAGTCATGCAATTATAAATATAAAAGGTTGTATATAGGATAGTGTATCTAATAATTCGACAAAATGGAATTATATTAATTAAAGGCCAAATCATTTGATTACGTCAAGGAAGTAATACGTCATTTTGTAGCTCTTGCTCATAAGGACGTCATAAATCATTTATGGCCAGAATTTCATCATTCTTAGCAGCACGTGGTGTCCTCGCGATTTACAGCAAATCTCTCGTATTTACATTAATCAGCTGTTTTCAGCTGCTAAGTCAATTCCCCCACCTCAAACTGTGTATGCCTACTATATATAATATATTGTCTTGTTTACTATACTCCATTGACACCAATCATGTGTGTTGGTCATTATTTTGATAGTGTTGTACTGTATTGGCAGGTTCAGCTGGTATTTATATATTTGCGATATTAATAAAATTAAATGTTTTAATTCTTTAGTATTAAGCTATATACGTAATTATTAGTTTTTATAAACATTTGAAGAAAATGATTTCCTCAAAAATGAATAGACCGCAAAGTTTTGGATGGTTATCAATTGTAAAGATTGTTGTGGTAAAATGCTGTATAATGTACTTAGATGAGCTATTCCATGTTCATATGAAACTTTTAGGTTTTTTGAAAAAGTAAACAAAAACAAACAGTTACAACATACAGCAATGAAAACACACTATTTGTTTCTTGTTTAAATATTCATGTTTTCTCTTTATTTAATTAAATTTCAAGGCTCACTTGTGCACTACATAATTTCCAATCTCATTTTAAAACAGTTCTCAAACAGAAAGAGAATAGAGAAAGAAAATATCTATAATATTGCAAATATTGTATGCTTTAAGAATCTTAGTTCCATTAATCTTATTCCATACTTCAAACTTTCAGAACTCTTTCTTGCCTTCCCTTTATTGACCATGTAAATTGATAACAATCTATCATTTTAGATGTACATATCTGACAATCTTCAGTAAGAGAAAGAACAGAGTTAACAAAAACACCTTAACATTAAAAGAAATGGTTTATAATTAATATTGCAATTAAATTCTGTTGTATAAATGACAAAATACTGACTTTAGTACTCAATTTATTGTATAATTTTCTTTAACGTTACCAAATACTTGACAGAATTCTAGAATATCATACAGTGTAGCTCAACATTTAGGGGTTCCTTCAGAGAATTATGAATGATTTTAACTGCACTCATTGCTTAACCACTGCTGTCGAGTTGAATACAACATGAATACCAATAATTTTTTATTATTTTTATTAGTGTATTTATCGACCTAATATGTCAGATAGTTACAAACAGCAGGTAGGAGAAACATAACTATTTTCAGTTTCCTGTATTTCTTTCAAGTTCATCACACACATTCACTTCAGTTACCCAACGCTGCATTACATAATTACTATCTACCAAATTTTACCAAGTTCGTCCAGCAAGGTTCGGTGTGTGGTAGTATAACCATGGAGGAAAGTATACCTAAGTTTAAATAAATTGTGACATTCAATGGGCACTAAACAGCATTCATGGCAAATCATGTGACAAAAATGTCTGTTTAAACAAGGCTTTTCTCATTGAATTTAATTCGTACCCAAAAGAGCAACAAAGAAGGATAGTTTTCTTTTAATAACAGGGGACTGGAGAATCAGGTGGTTATCATAGGGATTAATCCCTGGTTCATGCTACCCTCATGTGCCTAAACCTATTCAACCAATTAGCTTTTTCCTTTCATCCATACAATGTCCATTACTCCTTCAGACACAAGGTCACCTTTATGTTTAGACAGTTTACACTACGGTACTCTACATGGAGGGATGCAACTTCTTAAAATTTGTAAAACAGGATGAATTTACTTTGCTAATCCACAATTTGAAACTAATTTTGCTAATTACATACAACTATTATGGTACTTCACCAAACCATTCAGCAAACCTTCCAAAACAATTGTGTACAATAACAATTTAAATACATCGTCAATTTCGAAGGACAGGAATATTCTCAAAATAACCCTTATATTGTATAGTTAAAAAGAGTAGAAAAATTATAAAAAGGAATAACAAATAGTACTACATAAAAACTTACAAAAACATAACATCTCAAATAGATACTATAATTAAGACAATTGTTACTGTCCTTACCCTTAATAACAACTGTATAAAAAGAATACTGTTTTTTTTGCACGCAAGTGCTAATAGGTATGCTCTTTTTTGGAGATTACTTGTTTAACCTCACTAGTTTGATTAAACCATGGGGGTTTAAACAGGCAAGTTTAAAATAATTCTAGATTGATACTGATAAGACACATCAAAATACTGGTGTTTTTTTTTAAGACATTCTTTGAAGATATGGCTCTAATAAAGTAATATATATATTATAATGAACCAAGTTACTGTACTTCCAAAATAAAAAAAAATCTCTTCCATCAGCATTTCTGAATCAAGCTTCTTCACATCTTTCTGACTACAAAGCTCAGGAAAGCATTTATTTTGGGCCAGAAAATGTCAAAATCATATTGCTTGGAGCTCTGATATTCGCCGGTCCCTTCGATATAGTTTGTTCTTTGTGATCTTGAAACCCGGTCGTACTGTCGTCGTTGGTTCCGACCAGCTCCTAAATAATGCCGGCAGTTTTTTCACTAACCATTGTTGCGAGTCTATGTGCAGAATCAAAGTTAATTCAAATGTTGTTACAGTATTCGGGTCTATTTGCACTTTTCCAACTTTCTTGCACATCTCGCTATCCTCAAATACAATTAATAAGGTACAACCACGGATACCACAAGGTTCATTTCTTGACATACGCATAGTGTCTCGTGCCACTTTACTTGGGAGATCACACGGAATTAATAATCGTCCTTGTACATATTTTTCTCGTACAGACTTTAGTTCATTTAGAATCAGATCGGTTAGATATTGGGACATCTTGGCCTCGCTAAGGTCTTCTTCAAGACATAAATACTGCGCATTGGCAGTTCTTGAATCTGAAAGATAAAATAAAATGAGAGAATGAGCTGCTGTGTAACAATTTACAACAAATTTGTGATAAAAAAGAATTTTGAATCCATTTTTAAAACTCACTTTTGTTTGCCCGATCAAAACTAATTGGATTCTGTGTACAAAGTCCTAACATATCTATTGACAAGTACTGGTAATAAAGATTTTGTATGTAGCGTCCTGATCTTTACAGTGGGGAGCACCAACCCGTATCTAAGCAGTTTCAAGAAAATTATGAATTGGAAGCTTGTGGAATTACTAATCACTCTAGTGACTTGTGGTTTAGCCTCCAGATCACATGTTCTGTCATATGCTTATGATTGTTTACATATAGTATGCAACAGATGACCACCCTTCAATCTTTACAATTATATCCAGGGATCAACCAATGACATATGCAGCCAATAACAATTTTGACAGTACAGTTAGAGACTTGTTATCATTAATATTAATTGCTATCAACTTGAGTTTATAGAATATGGATAATCAATTAAGGGGGTCATACATATTTTTCACAAGAGAATATTAAAACACAGTACTCTTGTCATTTCTATGACCACCCTCCCCTGATGTAGAACCCAATTGGTCTATTATTAAAGAGGCATAAAACATGGTTTTTTTTGCCTTATATTTATGCCAAATACTGAATATTCCTTTACACTTTTCAGTGTTTGACAGACAGTATTGTCAAATAAGTGCCTGACCTTTCTCATTACAACATTTTAAGTCATAATTTATATTGAACAAACTAGTATAGCAAGGACAATTTTGATGCTGTTTTTCCTTTTGACTTCTATGGCCTTGGAAGCATGGATGTTCTATTTTTAATTACCATAATTAGCATCGTAAAGGACACATGTGTTTCTATAACTAAAATAAAACCTTGATGAAAATGTTGGCAAATTTAACAGTGATGTTCTGAGTGCATACTATACCCAGGGATGTAGTTATGGTAGGCAACCACCCAGCCTGGACTTTTTCCAGTCTAAAGTTCATCTCATGGCCCTCCACCCACCTTTATTTACCCCTTTCCCATCCTTAAATATAATTAATATGTTGATTATTGTACTGTAATTATGCATGTATTGTTATTTGGGCAAGGGAAATATTTTCTTTTTTTAATGATATAGCTAAATAATAATAAAGTTAATGCATTTAAACAAATTAACAAAATAGTGCTTTTGAATTAGCTGAAAACAGACTTTGAAAACCCCATCTATGAGACAAATCAGTTATTTATTAACCTCTTAACCTTCACAATGCGCAAATAGATGCGTACTCATTTAAGAATGAGATATGGTACCTGGATGAATGAAGGTACAGCAACAGCATTATGAATGATGCAATGACTCATCAGTGTCCAGGGCAAGGAATATGAGCTTTATTAAATAGTGTACCTAGGACAGTCTGATTTCTATTGGCTGGCACGGGTAAATTATGCTGCATTGTTAGAAAGCTATTCTACAATTTCTCTTTAGTCTGCAGCATTTCTGCTTGTGAAAATTATCATATTCCATGAGGTTGTATGTAGTGTAGGCCTACTGCATCAATTTCTGTAAATCATGTTTAAACTTGTATTGTACAAGACTTGAGAATACTGGTTATGCTATTCTATTTGGTGCAGCATGTTTGCACTTAAATTTAAACTGCTCTTAAATAAAACAATGCAATAATAAAGATAGATTAACTATTAGCTATTGACCTGCAACTGGCTTCTCTGAGGTTCAAGATTAGTATCAAGTTCAATAATACAGAATAGGATTTAAAGATTAGGAAGGCAACATTGACCAATTGACCCGAAGCTTTGTATGCCTTCCTCCTAGGGAAATCATAACAATAGTTTATCTTAATAAAGGTAAGGAACAAAAATATTAGGGCTATGACATTAACCTCAGAAACCAAAAACCTGGGATTGGATTTATTCAGTGTAAACACCAAGGATAGCCCACAAAGTCTAGAAGAAGACTTATTTCCAGTGGGGTCCTGGTAATGATTGGGCGGTACACCGGGGAAATAATCTCCTACTCTTTTCCGAAGAGTGTACTGCGTTCTTTAACGTGCACATGGGCCATAAATGCACAAGGGACCAATGGCTTAAACGTCTCATCCGAAAGACGGTGCGCTATTTTAACTTGTATTTCAGTCCTCCAGTTGAAACACAAGGAGAGACAGTGATGGGAATTAAACTGGCGACCTAAAGATCTCCACGGTTCAGTGCACACACGGTGGCTACCACCAGATTAGCCGACTAAGAAAGTATTTCTATTATTATCATTATTTCACTTTTTGTCATTCCAAATGAAATTAGAAATTACGGCTGGGTCTATAATACGACACTTGTACCATGTCCCGTCTAACTCTCATGCGAGGGTAATATTTGTGGAGCCCAGCGATCGATTCCAGACAAGAAATAAGAACATTACCTCTCGATCATACGTTCAGCTTTTAGATATTGTTAAAATAGTTGCAATGCATTTTCTTTAAAAATAAGTACATTAACTTTAAATGTCATTTCATCAGTCAACATGTAAACTGTAAATTTGGTATGGCCTTGTATAGGCTTTGTATGATAATAGTATACTATGATAATAATAATGGAACTAGCTGGTACCAACATGAGAGGCGGAACAAACTTAAATGAATAGAAACGAAACCAAAAACAGTTAATTTGAACAGAAAGATTGAACTTTAGTGAGAATTGTAGTATGCTAACAATAGTACATTGTTAAGCAACATTGCCAAATAGACTAATAAAATGAAAGCGAGCTGTTTTTGTACCAGAAATTAACAAATTTAGATTTACTGCCATTATGAAAAGTCTAATACTATAATAAGCACACTTCACTTTATTTGTTAAGCCCTGATTGCACAATATTAGACAGGGAATTTCCACTTTTAAACCGCACTTGTTAACAAAGGGTGTTTTCCTCAACCTTGTATGAATCATGAAAGTTCAACCGGCGAATACAGCACTACAGCTTATTGCAACATCATGTGCCCCCACATGCTTTGCACACAATAGAGAGAATACAATGCACAGTTCTGTTCCCATTCTCACCACAAATTTTGTTTTCATTCATGCTTCATGTACTTTGTATAATGTAACAAGTTAAATGAATTAAATTGAATAAGTACAAATCTATATATAGAATTAACTGTCCAGGATTCTTCTTTAAAAGGTACCGGTAATTCAAAATTAGGTATGCCTAGGTCCTAATCAACCTAACCTAAGTTCTTAGCTTATGTTGAGAATAGAGTTGGAATTTCAATTCACGTTGAATGCATGTCCTCTGATAATGCACTGGGACCGGGATGTTGGGAGCAGAATTTGGGAGTTTTTGAGTGTATTTAGTGTTTTGGTTGTGCTTGTATAATGAACGATCTGTTTATGGCACTTCATATTAACCAACATGGAATAAACACATACATTTTGGTACAAGTAGCAAAAATTTTTTTAGCGCGAAAATAAAATTTTCTATTAAATTAAGATATATTTACATGTAGGTTTAGAACCCGTAAGAAGATTGAAGTCATTAACACAATAGTTTAGTGTACTGTATGTAGTGTATCACTTCTTTCATAATTTAACTGTATAAATATAAATTATATTATTTCAATTTGTTTGGGGAACAGAAATTGAAAAAAATATAGTAATACTATAGTATATTACTACTACTATTAATAACTAGGCTAGGCCTATATTATTATTACAGTATTTATTTATAGGCTTAGGCTAGAGTAGGGCCTTATTTTTAGTATTTGACAGAAGGAAAGGAATGCAAATAAATATAATTACTGCCAGAGTCTACCTAAAAAACCCTTTTGTCAGTATTGCAACTAAGTTAGAGCAGGGCCTAGGCCCTAGCTGTAGAGGCAAACTCATAAACAACCTTCTTTATCTAGCCTAGGCCCCTAGTCTAGCCTAGGTAACACTGAGGTTAGGCCTAGTTATTATAGGGCCTAGGCTAGCCCAATTTGTTTGACAATTTAAACATATAGGCCTAGGCCTAATTCACAAAAATAGGAAATAGTAGGTACGTACCATTTTCATTCTCGAAGTTCTTTACAGTTTCGATAATTGGAAAAGTCGGCTTCGGCTTTTCCTTTTTGTCCAACATCATCTCATATATTTTCATTGATACAATAGCTACAGAAAGATGCAGAAGCTATTCAGCTCCCCTGCTTCCCTCCTCATAGGTGGTGAATGATGAAAGGAAGGCCAATTTACCAACCCTGCAGGCGAGGCCTAACGATTCCAATTACAGTGCCTCTTCAAAACCAACTCGATGATATTCGTATAACTGACAATTTGCAGAAAACATAAAATTTTAATGTAATAATGTATGTTCACAAAATGCAGAATAAAAATCACCGCTAGACTATCCCCGTTTCTCAGCTTACAATCAGCTGGTAAATTTCCAGCTTCATACAGCTGTTTTGTACAAAGAAAGGGAACCCTTGGTTATTTATTATTCATAAGTAATTTACATGTTATCAGTCAACCTTGAAATCATACGCAGTAGAACGCCCCCTGGAAACAGTTCAACCAATCAAATAAAGGAAGAAGAATAATGGCGCTAGGATTTCGCAACTCAGACGCAATTTTATTGGGCAGATTATAATTATAATATAATCATTACTGTCGACGTGCAACTTTTGACATAGATAGGGTCAAAGGTTTGTGTGGAATTATTTTTACCCAGGAGAATGAACTTCCAGAAAATTCTCCAATAGCCTGCGCGTACGTCAATGAACCAAATGAACTGAGTTCTTTGTCCTGTTTCTCTGAAATTCTGATCCACTACTACGTGCAGTTAGTCGTGTTTAGCGTTTCTCAATCCCAATCGAGTAGTGATAATATCGCATTACCCCTTAAAAGCAATAGGCCTACATTATTTCATGTTTCAGGACATAAACTGGAATGACCTATTGTGTCAATCTATCTTTTTTATACCTCCATGGTCAATCTAATATTTTGTCCGAACGGTAGGATTAACAGGCATCCAATTTCTGTAAATAAGCACCCTTTTAATATCGTATTTTCTAAGATTTTACGTGAGGACGCTAAATAAATCTCTAAATAAAGTGACAGGCGCTATTTTGATACCGAAACTCTTTCCACTTACTGTATTCTAACATAAAACAAGGAATTAACGTTTATTGAATAGATGATGAGCCTAGCACATTACAAAATCACATGAATATATGAGAAGTCAGCCTTACTTTTATTTTTGATTGTATGAGTAGGCCTATTCCAGAAACTTTAAGCGTCAGAACTGGTATAATCACATCGACACTATCAACTTGCATACTGTAAGCTATTATACTATGTTTTGAAACATTCGATTATATAGGTCTACAGTACATGGATAAAAGTTTCTTCCTACATTGCCACGTCCTAGAGGAAAAGGAAGTTCAGTCTTACAGATCTTGTTTTCTTAAGTCGGACTTAATTCGTCCTGATACTACTTGAATGAACATTTTAATCAAGTCCCATTAAATGACGAATAAAACAATTATACAATGTACTGTACACATACATGTTATATACACACGTTTCATTTACCTATGACAGGTGATGTCTGGTTGAAACAATGAATAGAGAAAATGGAATAAATACTGTTTTAAAAACGATATAAAGAAAAAGTGTTCGATTCTTATTGTATTCTTGAAATGCAATTAAGTTTTGCGTGTCTGTGAATCATCATCAAAACGTTATTGTCGTAGCAACACGCATGCGTCATGGGGTTTCGTCGAAGTGTTCAAGTCCACAATGCAGCGAATCAAAATCAAGTGCCTGGGAAAAATGTATGCATCTATGATGAGCAACCTCAATGTGGTGATGGAGGATGTGATTACATTACCTCTCCTTGGTTGAAACACAGATCCTATATACATACATTTTTTTTTTTTTTTATAAGAACCAGTAAAATTTTGCCCAGGCTAGTCAGTGTTATTATTTTTTGGCCGATTTCAGGCTCAAAATGTTCTTATTTTGTTCTTATGTTACACACTTTTCGAACATACAATTGTATTATCGTACCAGTGTACACTGTACTGGAATATAGGTAAAAGTGCCCCAGGAAAAACTGGTCCCGATAAAAAAGGCCACTGAAAAACTTCCCCAAATGACAAGTAGGTATACACCTCCTGTACTGTATTATAGAGGTATTACATAGTCACACCTACTGCACTTAAGGTACAGATATATTTTTTGGTTTTTCTAGTTTTTCAAAAAATAAAAATCTCATTTGACATTTTACCTCAGCCTCAAGTTGTTTTTATTTTGTTCTTAAATTTTAAATTTCAGCCTCAGTGTTCTTAAAAAAATTTAAAAAAAGTGTATCTGTATATAGGATCTGTGGTTGAAACAATATCTAGCGACTTCAGGAAATTCAAACAAGGGAGTCTACTATTGAAATGTCGAAGGCACTTTTTTTAATCTATTAAAAAAAAAAAACATTCCCAAATAGGTAATCCATGGCCCTCCTTTAAACAATACAATGCTTTATTGAATAAATTGATATAATGGAATAGACCTATCAAAAGGCATGGTCAAAAGCAGACCTATTCAATCCAGCGATCCCAGAATTTCTGTAAGATGGGTACCAATTCCGAGCATATATATATGCATTATATTCAAGTGGCCTGGTAGTCCCGGACAAGTAGATCCCCTAGAAAACAAGAACAATATACTGTAAGCCTGTGATTGTCTTTATTTCATTGTTCGCCTACATTCTATAAATAATTTGACAACTCTGTACATCTATTTTATAAGGTATAATATAAATGCATCTAAAACAATTTTAATTAAAGTATTGTGATTTCCAAAACTACATTCCAAGATTGATATACTATTTCTGCTAAAATAGGTCTAGATAAAGATTAAAAACAGTTAAAATAAGATAAATAAAATAAAAATAAGTATTTTCACATACAGTACTTTATATAGAGTGCATTAATTACGATATATTTCTAAGCACATTATTTACAAACTTATTTTTAAAACGCTGGCTTATACGAATACTGGAAATTTCGCCCAACAGAATGGACTGGAGCACACAATCACACAAAAGAAATAATTAGTAAGGAGATAATGATGGCATCAGATTGTACATTAGTATAATAGCATAGCAGGAACATAATTTTACAGACATGAAGAAACTATGGAAATTAATTGTAGAATGTGTTATTGTATGACAATTGTAAAAGTACAATTTTTAAAAATAATTTTAATTTGTGCAGCAGTAATATGTTACATAAGCATAAAAATAAAATGGATACAATAAGGTGATTTTCTCTAGCTATTTAATACATTTTATACGATAAAGGAAAATGCTCCCCATATACTTCTAAAAAAGTGTAGAACTATACAAGATTATTCAAGGCATCAACAAATCATAATGAATAAATATTTGTAAAATTTAACAAAAACAGGGGTCAGACAAGAGTGAACATTTACCAGTAGATATATTAATATTTAATAATATTTAACGTAATTTCAGTGACATTTAATATTCCATTTCTGCAGACTTAAAAAACAAAAATGACTACAGTAATCTAAATATTCATGTATATATCAATGGGGTCTGCCCTTCTCCTTTGATGCTTCAACCGTTCCTTCATGACTCAGTGTGTCTATCTTACATTACATGTCGGTACTGGCGCGGCACTGCAGCTGCCAATTTCAAATATTTGGAATTATTGTAAAAAAGTAAATTTCAATCTTTGTAATAATATATCAAAAAAATCATAATTCATACATTTGTGAAAAAAAATATCTTCAGACATTTCTTTTCAGACTTTATATATGAATATTTTCTGCATTGAGTAAATAAATACGATAAATAATGACTATTTCTATATTATTTGCAGACTCACAATGGACTATCCCAAAGTGTCAATCAAACTTTACAACTGACAATTGAGAACGTGATAGGCCCAGGAATATGCTCATGCTAGACTGTACCAAATTCAAAATCTTAATTTATGATATAAAGATCCATATAAAGATTCCATTTAGGACTAATATACTATGAAAATTTTCTGTTTGGTTTTGTAAAACAAACTTATGACCATTAAATTAATACAAACCAAATAAATTTATTTGAATATAGTACCAATATTCCGAAGGTAGACACATAACATAAAAATAAATCTCCATTTAGAACAGCATCATCATCACACACAAAAACACAACAAACCTTAATTATTTGCATTGATTTTTGAAATTTTAAATTACAGTGTTCAACAAAATGTAAAACTATAAATATAAAATAAGATACCTCCTATTTTCGTACAGTATAAATGATGTATCAACAGCAAAACACTTTGCTTTTCAACAGTAACTTGAACGCTTGATTTTGTAGGCTGTACCCAGTAGAAATGAGATGTGGGACATATATAAATCATATTAATAACAGAAGAGAAAGAGCAATGTAAATATTTATGAGAGAAAGAAACAGTTATATTGCATTGCAAACTTCACAAGGTCATTTGAGATGGGCAGCTCAAAGTTGGCAGTGAATGCCAAAAAGTGGCAGTGTGAAAGAAGAGCTAAAACTAAAATAAGCATGCCACTTCTATTAACCTACCCATGGTAAGACGAGACATTTTTTATACCTCGTTTCCCGACCATATTCTTTAAAAGACTGTCGGAGGAGGGCGGAAAAATTTAAAACAAAAATTTTGTTTTCTTATTTAGCAAGTAGTTTTGCTAAAACATCCACATGGAGGAGAAAATAAAAATAAACTTTTATTGGTGAAATGTAAACAGTGTAATAATGGGATGGTTAAATGTTACAAATTTACATAATTAGTTATCTTATCTTACTTTTTTGGAAAGTTCAAGGCAGCGAACGGCGTAACAAAATTAAGAAAAACTTTTATTTTTTCTGAAACTTCCATTTTTTCATTTTGGCAGGTGCACTAATTGGTCAAAAATAAAATTTAATTTTTATTTGAAATCATCTTTTTTTGGGGGTGGGGATGGCGATATAAAAAAAGTCTTGCCTAAGAAAGAGTAAATGGGTGTTTGAAGTTTGCATGTCAAAATAACAAATAATCTGTTTGTATTTCTGTCACAGTGGTTGATAAGTTGTCTAAGTTGGAATGATAGCTGTAAGGTGCAGATATCAATCACATTTCCAAGGTAAATCCAAAATTAAAAAGTTGTTTGCCGTCATCCGCCACACCTAAAATCTGAAATATGAGGGGCATGGTTTTTTTTTTCTTAAAATCAAAATTGTGTAGTGTAAAAAAAAAAAAAAAAAAAAATTCTTTTTTTACACGATTTTGTTTTCACACGACCGCCGGTTCCATAGCACACCCACTACAACCGTTTCACGCTTGGTTAACTCTAAACTTTTCTCACCTCGTGGTTGGTACTACTACTGCCAAGGTGATACAATGTTGGTTGTTGTGATTTGGAACTTTTTTAACACATTTAAAAAGTAACTGAAGCTGGTGAGCTTGACCTAATAC